CATCGTCCAGGACGCGGCCCCACACGCCCTCCAGGGAGACCTCCACGCGGCCATCACAGCGGCTCTGTCCTTCCCTCAGCCGCACGGCGTGGGGCAGACCTGGGGATGGGGACGCACAGGGGACCCAGGGTGTCAGCGGGAGGGACCCGGAACCACCCCACAGCAGGGCCCCTCCCTCTCCGCCCCCTCTGTCCATGCCTCTCACCCACCCTCCTCCTCCACCGTCCTGGCTGCACCCACCTGAGCAGACCGCGGAGGCTGAGTTTCCCGGGGCACAGGCCGGGGCCCCCAGGGTGCTTACTGGGCAATTCCACAAGTAGGGTTCTGTCCCCCCACAGTGAAATGCGTCAGGCCAGATGGCAGCGTCCCCGTCCCCAAAATGGCCTCCTCGAGGTGCAGCCACCGCGTTGCCGCAGTTGAGCTGGTGGCAGAGGACGGTGGCATCTGCTATGTCCCAGTGGGTGGCACAGAGGGGCGCCCAGGACCCCTGCACCTGGAGCTCCACACGGCCCTCACAGCTGCTGCTGCCATTGACCAGCCTGAACTCTGGGGGAGAGGAAGAGTCAGCGTGGTTCGCACATGGCAGACACTGTCTGCACTTTCCTTCACCTGAGCCTGACAGCCTGGTTACACAGCCCAGTACTTGGGGGACCAGACTGAGGGTATGAAAACAGCTTTGGCGAGTGACGTCACCACAATTGCCTGGGAAATCAAAAAGTGAAGGGCATCATCGCTTCACTTAGGCAGTGATTAAGTTGGGAAAACTATGGAAATATACTTTGTCAGTGCTCTGGAATGCACCCAACACAGGGGAACGCTAATAAAAGTGAAGCTGCTGAATGCTGTCTCCAATAAGCAGGAAGTGAGCACCAAGACAGAGCTCCACACACCCTCTCAGATCCTGCTTCTCATTGCCAGCCAGAGCTCTGGGAAACGGGGCAGCACCCCTGGCCCCAGTCCCCAGGCCCCACACATGCTGCTGCACCTGGTTCTTGGTGTGAGCCTAGTTAAACATACCCCACACCCTGCACTTCAGAGGAAATGCCTGAGGGTAAGTAGCAACAACAGTATACGTGGCAGAGTAAGGAACCCCAAAGCTCCATCTCCCTCTAATGCAATGACTAGGTGGTAAAACTCATAACCAACTTTTTTGAAATTCTAGTATCTGGGAACGACTTGAAACCACTTAAGGAAGAAAGAAGTGGCAAATTTGTTTCTGCATAAGGAACGAGTGAAGAATAATGCCTTAGTACTGAAGGTGTGCCCCAACAAAGGGCTAACATGCAAAGACTGGAAGAGTCGGGAGTGCTTGTTTGTCTGTTTTTTACTAGGGGCATTTAAGGAAACATGTCTAATCACTAACCCCACTAACCAACAGAAAAGAGACCCTAGTGGTCACATGCAACAAACAGTCTTTACAAAAGGAGTTTAGAAAAGTCATTAAACAGGGCCGGGCACGGTAGCTCATGCCTGTCATCCCAGCCCTCTGGGAGGCCAAGACGGGTGGATCATGAGGTCAGGAGTTCAATACCAGCCTGGCCAAGATGGTGAAACCCTGTCTCTACTAAAAATACAAAAATTAGCCAGGCACAAAATTATTACTAATTACTAATACAAAAATTAGTGGTGGGTGCCTGTAATTCCAGCTACTCGGGAGGCAGAGGCAGGAGAACTGCTTGAACACAGGGGGCAGAGGTTGCAGTGAGCCAAGATCACACTACTACACTCCAGCCTAGATGAAACAGCGAGACGCCATCTCAAAGAAAAAAAAAAAAAATCAGCAACAGCCAACCCTGGTGATAGAGAAAAATGTGATTTCTAGAGTTGCCACAGTATAATAATTCAAAATGTCCAGTTTCCAACAAAAAAGATGAGACATGCAAAGTAACCATAAATTATAACACATATATAGGGGGAAAAGGGAAATAGAAATTGTCCTTGAGGATGCTAAGTCATTAGACTTACTAGACAAATACTTTAAATACACTGTCTTAGATATGCTCAAAAAGCTATAGGAAACCAGGATAATGATATCTTACCAAATAAGGAATATTGATAAAAATATATAAATTATAAAAAGGAATTGAGTAGACTTTTCTGTAGCTTAAAAAAGTTCAATAACAAATGAAAAATTCACTAAAAGGTTCAACAGCAGATCCCTTGAGCGAGCAAAAGATAGAATCTATGAACTTGAATATAAGTCAATTCAGATTATCTAGTCTGAGGAGCAGAAAGAAAAGGGAATAAAAAAAATCAATAGATCCCAAAAGACCTGTGGGACACCATTGAGGATACTA